ACACACACGCACCAAGGGAAGGACATCAGCCAGCCAGCATCATCCAACACGCCTTGCATCCACTCCATGCACCAGCGATGGTGACAGCAGGAGAGAGAGGGAGAGGAGGGAGAGAAGGAAGAGTGTGCCTGCCTTGCCTTGCCTGCCTGGCTGTGTGGGATGTGTGTCTGCACACCCACTCATTGTCTGTGTCTGCGTGTGCATGTCACCATCTATACACACACAGGCGTGTGAGACAGAGAGAAGCAAGCAGCCACCACACACATACACACACAGTGTGAATCACAAGCAGACACAGCATTAACGACATGCACACAGTCACAATCACATGCAAGCATGCAAGTGCAACGCACCGTGAGGTGGCATCAGACTGCCTGTCAGCGTGTACGTGCGTGTGTTCACACTCGTGTGTGTGGGTCGATGCAGCCCATCATCCCTCTGTGTGCGTGTGAGCCAAATGCATCCACAGCAGCAGGAGTGCGTGTGAGATCACAACACCCACCACAGCCACGTCCACCTCTCCACCCTTCACACACACACACAACACACACACACACCCCACACAGCAGTCAAACCAATTGACAGAACTCACCCAAACTCACAGTGCCAGCGTGTCATGGGCCTGTGCAGCACATATGTTAGCCTCACTGACCGTGGGCAACGCCTTGCATGCCTTTGGCCCTGCACACATCCATGGTTTGGCGCTGTTGTGCGTGTTCTCTGCTTGCACCTGTTCACCATCACACCATCACCCACCACACCCCACACAGTCCACGGAACCAAACGAGACCACCCACAACAGAACCGCCAGTGAGTGCTCGTCACAACGCGCACCCTCGCCCTCCTCTCCACCAACCCTGCGCCAGCCACGCACACGAACAACGCAACCCACCACCTCCACTCAAACACACAAACGCACCTTGATTCGCGTTTCGATTGTTGCTTGTCACTTGTTTGTGTGTTTGGTCTTGTTGGTTCGTGTTTGGGCGATTGGTGGAAGATGCCACAAATAATCGCCCACTGCTGCGTTTGTGCGGCAACTGCTGTTTGCTTTCTGCGTTTGTTTGTTGAAGGGCGGACTTGCTTGCTTTGCTGGTTGGTTGGTTGGTTGGTTTCAATGAGACAAGAAGAAGAAGAAGAAGAAGAAGGGGAACAGCACTGTGTGTGAGTGCAACGCAGGCTCACAGGCCTTGCAGGCTTAGGAGGGAAGGGGAGAAGAAAGGGGGATGGAAAAAGAAGAAGAAACACACACAACCAAACACACAACACACACACAGCTGTGGACAGCATGCACCCCTCTCCTCTCCTCTCCTCCTCCTTCGCTCCCTTCTCCCTCCTCCTCACAGTCACAACAAACAATCAACAGCCACAAAGGGCTGGAAGAGAAAACAAACAAGGGGAGGAGGCAACAGGCACCCAGCCAGATCGCCATGGAAGCAATAGGCGAGGCGATGGGGGTGGGGGGAAGGAGAACACCATCCATCAACACGCACATCTGTTGGGAGCCCCACCTCTTGTGTCCTTGCTTCCCTCTCCTTCCTTTCCTTGGCCTGGGTTGAGTTGGGTTGGTTGAGGTGGCACAGCTCGCCATGGCGTGGCATGCGTGGTGGGTGTGGGCATGGGTGTTGGATGTGGATGGGTTCCTCTCTCTGCGTGTGTGAAAAAGGGGTGGAGGGAAACAGTGGAAGGGGTGGCAGCAGCAGAGAGGAGGAAGAAGGAGAAGAAGCAAGGGGAAGGGGTGGATGTGAGCATGCCATGCGTGAGTCGACAACAACAACAACATATGGGGTGGAATGATGATGTGCTTGGTGTTGTGTGTGTTGTGTGATGGCACAAGCACACAAAGGTCAACCACAATTACACACACACACACACACACAGTCAGACATGGCATTGCAGAGTGAGATGGTGCACCACCATGCACACGCATGCACAGCAATGCAAAACACAACCGTCACAACGACAACATATCTCTCCCCTCATCTCCATCCCCCAAATGCACGGTCACATGACCAGGTACACAGCCGTGGTGGTGATGATGGCCATGATGAACGCCTTCCTCCCAACTTTCCCTCAACCCCCTTCCACCAAACAAGCACAGCATTGCGTGCCCTCACCTCGTGCATCGTGTCGCTGTCGGCGTGGTTGATGGCGATGCACACGCATGTACACGCACACATACACACATCGCTGTGTGTGTTCCCAGTTGAGATGAGCAACGGAGAGAGAGAAATGGGCGACATGACATGATTGGCCAATCAACCCCAGCCAATCCAATCCAGCATCCACTGCCGTGTGTTGCCTGCTGCAGTCATCATCACAATCACACAATCACAATCACACAGGTGCAAGCAAAAGGAATGAGCCACTGACGTATGTGCCGTTGTCATGTGACACCACCACACGATTTCACATGCATGTGTACGCGCACCCCCATCCCCCAACCAACATCATCGCCCTCCTATCACTTCCCTTCCCTCTCCCTCCTTTCGCTCTGCACTCCCACGTCGCCTCATCACCACCAACACCACCACCACCACCTTGTCACTTTCCTCCTTCCCCTGCTTCCCACCACTCCACACAACTCAGCCCACCACCAACCAACCGCCAACGATCATCCTCACCTGTGCTCGATGCAGTCAGCCAGCCAGCCGATGTGCCACAGCGAAGCCAGAACAAAAGGGAACCGCAATCACATGCCACGGCCACCATCATCATCGCTGATGGAGCAGAAAGAGGAGATGAAGGGGAAGAGTGGTGGGCACGGGCCGTGCCCTTCCTTGTCTTCATCGGTGCAGCCCCAAACACGGTGCACAGCGCACAGGCACACGCACGGCCACCATCACAGCAGCACCACCAGCAGCAGCTTGCATGCCTGCCTGCCCTGCGTGCCTGTGAGGCAAGAAGAAACCAACCAGAGACGAACAACAATGAGCGGTGGTGGTGAGGACACCAAAGGAGAGACACAAGGGACCACGCATGGGAATATGCAGCATCTTGTGGGCGGGGTGCATCACCTACACACAAGAACAACGAAACAAGCACCCAACAATCAAGCAAGCAGGCACACCATCACATCCACCATATCCACCACTGCTGCAATACCTGTGTTGGTCGCTGTCTCGAGCACGCCTCAACAGTTCCACATCACATGGGGAAGGCTGATGAAGATGATGATGACACAGAGCAAAGGGGATTAGTTGGGAAAAGGAGGAAGGAAATTTGGTTGGGAACACCCTGCACACGTCCGCCTGCAGCCACGCACACACGCACACGCACATTTGAGTTGTGTGGTTGATTCACGTGAGGCACACGTCAGTGCAACCACCCCACAGCCAATGACTGCTTTGGTGCGTTGGCACACATGCGTACATGCGTGCGTGTACGTGCGAATGAGAACTACCGCACACACACACACAGCGGCAGCCTCTCACCTCGTGCCTTCTTCTCTCACACATTTGTGTGTGCGTGTATCGCCCTGCTCGTGTCATGAGGGCTTGGGAAGAGAACGGCCACTGCCCTGTGCAAAATCACACAGTACATAAGCGCAAGCACAAACAACCAAATCAGCAAGAATGACGCCACGCAGTGAGCCAGCATGGCAGAAACAAACCGCATCCACCTCCTTTGTCACATTCACATCACCACATCATCACTTGTGCACGCACATGTCACAGACAACACACCACAACCAGCACAAGCAGCACACCTGCGCATGCGTGTGTGCGTGCGCCGTCTACATCCACCACAAACCACTCACCACCACCATCGTCGTCGTCGTCACGCGAGGCAACGGCGCATCGACGCACATCACACTCTGCATGTGTGCGCGTGGAGAAAGAGGTGAGTTGTCTCAGAATCAGGCTGTCAACGACAACAACGCCCATTGCCACCACCAACAGACCCAACGACATCCAACCAGCACCGCACAATCATTCCCCATACATGCTGATGTTCACACCCAACACATCGCACACCGCCCACATCACCACCACCGCCATTCATCCCACCTCCATATCCATGGTCGCAGCCGCTGCTGTTGGTGACCAGTGACGACGACAACGAGGTGGAGATGGACGAGAGACGGAAGGCCAGTTCATCCACAATGCAGCCACACATCAGCTGTTGCTGGTACTGCTGGTGGTGGTGGAAGCGGTGAAAACAAACGGCCCCTTGCCACGCCGTGTCCATTTGCTCGCTCGCTCGGCTGCTTGGCCGGTCGGTTGGATGGAGACGATGCATGGCCTGTGTCCAAATCAATCGAAAAAGGGAAAGGGAGAAGAGATACATGAGTGGACAGAACAGACAAGGAAAGTGGGAGGAGAAGGAGGAAACACAACATTTCAACCAACGCACACACACGCACACACATCTCAGCCGCCCTCTCACCTCCATCACCCGTCACCGTCATCGTCGTTGGTTCCACCGCTTCATGCGCCTCCTCAACGCTGTGAATTGTGTGTGCACAGACGCAAGAAGGGAGGATGCAGGGGGTGAGGTTGACAGCGAAGCATCATCAATCACACGCTAGCCCCATCCAACCATCCGCTTTGACACACATCCACACGCACACATGTTATCTCCACTCATCCCACCACCATGCACGCATACGCACACACATTGCTCACCTCTTCGTCAGAGCGACTGACATGTGCATTGTCTGCCTCACGCCAGATTGAGGCTGGTGTCAGCTGGGTGTGATGGCGGCTGTGCAGTCGATGGTGATGGTGGTGGTGGCGGTGACAGCGAAGCTGAGGTGGAAGAGAGGAAAGGAGAGAGAAATGGAGAAGGTTGATGAGGATGTGGCATTCATGGCGGCTGCTTTCTCCTCCTCTGATGTGGCCCTGGTGCGCATGCAACCAACACACAACGACAAGACACAACGATACCATCACACACAAGGCACGGGTATGGCATGTGAGCACAGCAAGCGTGTTCACCTTCCTGCTGCCCCCTCTCTTTTGCTTTCCTCCTCCTCGCCCCACCATAACCGCACACACACACACACACACACACACACACACACACACACACACACACACACACACCTGCACATGATTGCGTCGCTGTGGTTGGATGTGCCCGCCATGACCATGGACGTGTGTGTCCGCAGCTGCTCCTCCAATCCATCATGTGTGCATCGCCCATCATCCTCAAACGATCCTCACACAGTCGCCGCTGCAGCCACAAGCATACACACATTGCGTGTGAGCTGCACAGCTACACTGGTGCACGAGACACAGCAGCAGCAACACCAAGCACCCACAACAGCAACACCACCAACACATGCACCATGTGCCAACCAAAGCATGCATGATGGGCTCACCTTGCTCACGCATATGGGAACGCTGCATGAACACAGCAGTGGCAGCCGAATCGGGGGAGTTGCAGCAGCAGCAGCCGGCATGCTAGCCCACTTCCATCAACATCCTGATGTGTGCTGGTACCTCACCACCTGTGCATGCGTGTGTGTGTGTGTATGTGCGTGGTTGCGGGCAGCGTGGATGGGAACAGAACACAACAGGCACAGAGTAAGCCATCATGTCAGCACAGCAGAACGAGTGATTGACATCACATGCACCACGTGTCGGTGTGTGTGTGTGTGTGTGTCGATGCGTGTGATCATCATCCCCCATCAACCCTCTTCCTTGTTCATTTCATCGCACCCCATCACCATCACAGCCCCATCACACAACCAACAACCACTCATCATCACCCACATGCCATGTGTGAGGCGAGTGCAGCTGGTACGCGTGACAAATATCCTCGACATTTCCCTCATCCTGCTTGCGCGTGTGCATCACCTGTGAGTGTGTTTGTGTGCAAGCACCAGCATGGTGAGTGGGAGGGAAGAGGGAGCGTTGATATGTGCACAGCTACACTGCTGCTGCCACTGCTGGTGTTGTGCATGCATGTGTGCGAAGGAGAAGAAAGGGAAGAGGGAGAGAAAACAGAAAACAGAAGGGAAGGAACAAGACATGGTGCACCCCATCCATCCATCCATCCCTCTTCCTCACCACCACCACACACCATCGTCCTCTGTCACCAGCCAGCCAGCCACACCACACCACACCACACTCACCCAGCATCCCCCACTCCACCTCATCCATCCATCCAACACACATCTCCTCTCCGTTTCCCCTCTTCTTCTCGCCCTCACCTCTGCTGCTGCTGCTTCCAGCTGAAAATGCAACTTGTGCTGTCGCCACCTGTTCCCAGCTGCAAACAGCCAGCTTCTGCCAGCAGCAGTGGGCGATGGGTTGTTTGTTGGTTGGTTGGGGAATGTGTTCAGCAGCAAGTGGTGGCGGTGGTGCAGTCTCTGCTGCTGCTGCATCGGCGGTGGAGGGTGTGTTGGCTGCTGCTGCTGTTGTTGTGATGGCCGCCAGGGAGAGCGAGACAGAGAGGGGAATATAAGCAGCAGCTGCAAGGTGGAGAATGTGCAGGTGTGCAGGCAGTTGTGTGTGAGAACGACGAATGAGACACTACATGAAGCAAGGCAAAACAGGCAGCCACACCACACACATGCATGCACATTGATGTGGGACAACAAGGGGAGACAGGAGCAGCAGAGACAGCGATCACAGACACGCACACTGGTGCTGTGCTCATCACGCACATGCACATGCAGTGGTGCACTCACGTTGCTCATTGCTTGATTGTTTGTGGTGTGTTGGCGTTGCTGCTTCCACAGCCGCACAGCGTGGCTGGATGGTCATTACATGGCAGCGCCCGTCTGTTCATCCCACCAGAGCAGTGGTGGTTGGTGGAGGGGAGGGGTGACAGCAGCTGGTTCAAGGGCCCTCTGTGGCGACAGCAGAAGGAAGGAGAAACAAGGGAGGGTGGTGATGGTTGTGGTGTTGAGGGTGGGAAGGGAAGGATGTGAGCAAACACACAAGAAAATGAGGAGGTGGTGATGATGGCGTGTGGATGGGTGGAGAAGAGCACACACACGTCGACACACACACACCCTCACCTGCCACGCGTTGTCGCCACTGAACAGGTTGATCCTGGCAGACGCCAGCAGCGCTGACAGCAGCACATACCACAGTTATGCCACACACGAGTGGGCAGATGGTGAGAGTGGTCGAATGGACACGAGAACAGGCGAGCAACGCACACACCACACCATACGCCCCGGTCTCCAGCGCCAGATCCGTGCACGTGTACTTGTTGAACTCTTCTTCTGCCTGCTTACATGAGGGGTCATATCCAACCTTTCCCCTCACGGCCCATTCGCTCTTCGCGAAACCTCCGGCACGCGCACACCAACACAATGTCCCTGCAAACGTGCAAACACATGGTATGCGTGCGTGTGTGTGTGTGTGTGTGTGTGTGTGTGTGTGTGTGTGTGCGTGTGTGTGTGCGTGTGTGAGGTGGATTCAGATAGACACGCACACAGCATCAAAACCAGTTGACGCCGAGGCAACGCACGACACACAAGTACACGATAACACACAACACATCGCACACGTAGCACGACACACCTGCCGTCGGGCAGCTTGGGGAGGTGGTTGTGCATGGCATCAAGAACGAGCAGATTTGGTGGTGCCCCTGCACAACAGGGAAAAAAGACACATGTCAAGCAGCGGCACCCCGACAGGTTTGGAGTGAGATCGCAGTGGCACAAGAAGGGCGAGTGGTGGTGCATTAAGCGACACCAACCTCTCAAAACCCAGCAGCAGCAGCAGTGAACATCGAACCTCACATCGCACCACGTCACACCACGGGCAACACATGCGCAGACCTGAAGGTGACGAGGTATTTCCTGTTTGTGCGGGCGGATCGCGTCGCTGCTCCGGTGTGAAATGAATGCCACCGTAGAGAAGAATGGCATGGACACATCGAGGCGGTCATGGTGGTGGAATTCACTGAAGTGGTGTGATGAGATGGACCAGACAGGATTGGTGAAGCGTGTAAGCATCAGCAGTCGCACATGGTGCGTGCCAACCCCATATTCACTTCTATTCCAACACATACACACACACACACACACACACACACATACACACACACACACACACCTGTGTCAGTACCGTGGATGGACGAGGAGCAGGTGACGGACGAGCCAGGGCATGCGACACAGCAAGCCGTTGCCAGCCAACACACACCACCATACCACATCTGGAACGGACAGCATGGTTGTGTCCACCGCACTTGCGGCTGGATCGACGATGAGGATGGAATGCGAGTTGCATGGAATGCCGTAGCAGGAAAAAGCCATTGTCCGCAGCCACGCCGCTGATCCACTTGCATCCGCCGTGTCGCAGTTCACCAAGCGTGGTGGTGTCTGCTGTGCCCGTGCTGCGATCAGTGGTCACACCCGTCGAGGAGGGTGTTGTGAGCTAGCCAGCACGCCGCCTGCAGTGCCCACATGGCTCAACTGGCTTGCAGACTGTTGATGGTGGTCGTGTCATCCACTGCTGCTGTCACTGCTGCTGCTGTCACTGCTGCTGCTGTTGATGGTGTTGATGGGCTGTTGTTGAGCACAGAGGTGGTGGGAGTTGTATCAGCGGGATGGATGCCGTAGATGAGGCCGTTGTTGATGACGACGCCACCAAACCCCAATCGCAGTTGCCAGTGCCCTGCCGAGTGCATCTTGGATGCTGTTGCCGGACGGTGGGCTGACCGACTGTGTTTTGTGGCTTGTAACACACATGCATGCAACGGGCCCAAGAAGGAGACCTGCTTGTGGTTGTTCACTGCCTGCTGGCTGGCTGGCTTGTCGTGCACTTGTCGTGCTTTTGTCCCGGTCGCAAGTAGCACAGCAGTTGGTACCCCCCTTCCCTTTAGTTCCGCCACGCAGAGCACTGCTCCATCAAGCCATTCGCCCCTCCGTGTGCGTGCATGTGCGTGTCTGTGTCTGTGCCTGTGCGTGTGCGTCTGCCTTCCATCACACAGCAGTGAACCCTTTCAACAACAAAGTGCTGACTCGGCACAATTCTGTTTGTGTTTTGTGGGAAGAAGACAAGAAGGAAGATGCGTGCAACGGCAGTGTGACAGCGCTGCTGCTGTTTGTGGTTGGTGGCTGTGTGCTGTGTGTGTGCTGTTCAGCCTCTGTGGTGAGCGTCGTCTCAAGCTCAAGTCCAGTGCAGCAAGATCAAGGTGTGTGTGTGTGTGTGTGTGTGTGTGTGTGTGTGTGTGTGTGTGTGTGTGTGTGTGTGTGTGTGTGTGTGTGTGTGTGAAATGACTTGCGTGCCATCCCCTTCGTCCCATCGCTGCTCTCACCTACCAACCAAACCCCCCCCCCACACGCACACTCGCACACACCGTGCTGACAAT